CTTATAAAACAAGAAAAAGAGAGTGCCCATCCCATAGGACAATGTTGAAAGCTTTTGAAGCAATACAGCATGCACACTAAGCATCTGTATGTAGCACATGTAGCACATGTCTGTAATCTTGGCACTTGGGAAGATCAGAAATTCGAGATTATCCACAGATACATAACAAGTTCAAGGTCAGCCTGGGCTATTTGAGACCTTGTCTCAAAAAAAAAAATACACACACACACACACACACATACACACACACTATGGTTGTTATTCTGATTTATGTTGGGAGATGAAAGAAGCCAAGAGTGACCTTTCATATCTTCTTTCTTTTCTTTTTTGTTTTCCTTCCAGCAGTGATAAGATTGAATCCAGAGCTTGTGTATGCTGGGCCAGCACTCTGCTATTGACCTACATCCCCAGTCTGTTCCTCATGACCTTTGTGACCTGGCTTTTATCTATTGAAACAGACACAGCTATGTAGATCGCATTCTGCTCTGTTGTAGGAACCTCAAGTTTTAGAGCCTCAGGATTGGGGGTGCACATCCAGTACTCCTCCCCCTGCATAGCCTGAGCCAGCTGGTTGCCACATTTCACTCTCACCAGAAAGAGGGGGAGGGGAGTCTGTTTTGAAAACATATAATGTTAATTTAAAAGGACATTCCCCAAGGCCAGCCAGGTGGTTAGTGAGCATCCACCTTTAGGCTCTGATCTTTCAACTAGAAGTGTGTTTGTGTGTTCATGTGTATACCTACATGTGGGGAGGAATTCCATCTCATCAAGAGAAACAAATCTTCCAACAGATCTACTATGGCACCGTTACCACAGGGAGTCTAGGGGTCCTGGCTAGTGTGGCTTCCAAGACACATCCCTCAAATCCCAATGAGTTAAAAACAATCAGGGTTTGGCTTCCCCAACAGCAGGCCTTTGGATGGAAGGGCTTCTCTTTGTATTATGGTTTGGTTTACTGCACTCTAGTCCCACAAGCCCCACCTAGGACTTTGTCTGCAAGCCCAAAGCTCCTCATGGCTTTCCAAAGAGACTCTTTGGTCACAAAGGTCCTCAGAAGGAAACTGGAACCCTAGACAAACCATGGACAGTGGTGCTGTCTAGCCACATTTACCAGGATACCCAAAGACATGCAGCACCCCATATGGGCCTGAGGCAAGTGGCTACTGTGTGTTTGTGGCTGGTCAGGACACCCTGTTGGACACCTTTCTCTTCAGGGAGAGAAAGAGATCTACAGTCATGGTCTCCAGCAAGAAAGTTATAGGAAGCTGATCCAATCCTACCCTTCCCAGCACCCATGCTTCTGTCCAAAGAAAACAGATTTGATTACCATCTCCAAAGGCTACCTTCATGGTGCACAACCTACATGCCACACACACTTGATCACAATGTCCTTTGGGTGTTTTGAGATTCTTTTTCTTTTTTTTTTCCCTTTCTTTTTTCAAAAAAAAAATTTTTTTTTGAGACATGACTTCAAAACTCTTGATCCTCTAGGCTTGTACCATCATACCTATCTGGAAACCCTTAATTTCAGTCAATAAAGTGTTTGCTAGTACAATGTACAATGACCTGAGTCTGATCTCCAGAGCCCATACAACAAAGCTCAGTATGGTGGAGTACATTGTTTTCCCAGCACTGTGGAAGGGAGACAGAGAGACCCCTGGGGCTTTTTACCAACCTTGTATAATTAGTTAGCCCCATGCCTCAAAAATAAGGTGGATAGCACCTGAGGTACAATAGTTGACCTCTGACATGTGACAGACACACACACAAGAAAGGAAGAAAGAGGGAGGGAGGGGAAGAGAAAACTAAAGAGAAAGAGAGAGGGAGAAGTAGAGGTCATTTATAATTGCCATTTTGGAACCAGGGATCCTGCAAGTTCGGTTTGCACTGTGGTTATTATGCTTTAAGTAGAATTCCCACCAATTGCTTTTGCTCATGCTGGGCCTGGTTCTATCTTCATCAACCTTTCTCTTTCCTTTCTGTCTCTGAGTCCATTATTTATTTATTTTTGGTGTTTCAATACAGGGTTTCTCTGTATAGCTGTGGCTGTCCCAGAACTCATTATGTAGACCAGGCTGGCTTTGAACTCAAAGACCCAACTGCCCCTATCTTCCAAGCACTGGTATTAAAGGCATGAACCACCATTCCAGGCACTAAATAGAGAGGCACTTTGCCTCTCTATTTAAAAGTCCTGACAGTGAAATAGTTTTTTTTAAACCACAAAGCCAAGAACATTCCACTTGGAAACTCTTTGCTTTCCAGACTAAGCAGAATTGTGATGGATGATGGCTGGCATGGTAATACCACTGCTGACATAAGATTTGTTACATTCTGCATAAGGTTGAATGTGGTGACAGAGGGCTTTTACCTCTCATCCTAAGCAATTATCTTCTAGTGTCACATCCCTAGAAGAAGTGTGGGAGCTCTTTGCCCTGCTCTTTGAGATGCAACGTGTCTCTGTTCATTAGGGTTAGACCTCAAGTTGCTTTCCAAGCTTTGGGCAGCTATTTTGGAGGAAGGTAGCCATTCACTCAGGTACATCTTGCCTACTACTTCTGATATGTGGGACGACAAAGCATTGAAACCCTGGGGGACAGCAATAGAGGGCTTGTTTTGTATTTTGTCTCTCAAAGCCCATTCAGGGACCTCAGATCCATTTTCATTTCTGGGTAATTTACTTTTTAACTTTATTTCATTTATTAATAATAGTCTTGATGGATGGGTGATATGTGTGTGTCAGGGGCAGGTGGGGGGTGTACCACAGTATGCATATGGAGGTTAGAGGACAAACTTGGGAAGTTGATCCTCTCCTTCCCCTTCCCATGAGCTCTGTAAGCTTAGGTGGCCAGGCTTACTCAGCAAGCACCTTAACCCTTCGGGCCATCTTGCTGGCCCCATTTCTGGGTAATTAAAAAAGGATGAAGTCTTAGGCTGACTCAGTTAGTAAGAACACTTGCTGTGTGGGTGCTCATATACCTGGATTCAAATTCCTAGGACTCATGTAAAATAGTCTGGCATGGCTGCACATGCCTATAACGCCAGTGTTAGGGGTTGGAGACAGATAGATTCTGGGAGCACACTGGCCAGCTAGCCTAGTCTAAATTAGGAGTTTTCAGTTCAACGAGAGGCCCTATTTCAAGGGAATAATGCACTGCCCTCCATATATGTGGATGTACACTCACATGTATATAACACACACACACACTCACATGTGCACACACATATATAAAACCATATACACATACCAACACACACATAGAATAAAAGCATTCAAGCTTATAAGTGGTGAGGAGTTCAAGGCCAGAAGCTGTGTCTAGTACGGACCTTCTTGCACAGGACATATTGTGGTGAGGCAGAAAACTCCATCAGATCTGTCCCCTTCAAAGCTGCTGTTCCTTTGGATTAGGCCCACCCTTATCACCTCATTTTGCATAATCACCACCCAAAGTTCCTACCTAAACGCCATCTTTGAATTAAGTATGTTTAAGTCCTTAACATCTTCCAACAGGGGTTAAATTTCACCATGAGTTTTAGTGGGAACAGTCAGACATAGCAACAGGTGAGGCAGTATCATGCTGGGTAGCCTCAGACTGAGCCTTGGGTTGCTTCTGACGGCTGAGAGCTGACTTCCTGTTTTTCTTCTGTAGAGCCATGTTTGGACAACCTACCAGCATCATGTGCCTGGAGTGACCCTTTATGGCAGGAAGACTATAGGGGAAATCCTTAGGCCTCAGGACTTAGGCAAGCTGTTGCTCTGCAGAAGGCATGATCACTGTGGGTCACGAGGCCCTTGAAAAGCTGAGCTGCTGGAGTAGCCAAAGCCATTGCCACAGGCAGACCCTTGGCCAGGACTGCAGGGACTCCTGACTTGAGTGTTTATAAGCCCCCTGACTTTGTTTGCCCTGATTGCCTTAGCCTTTCCGTTTATGCTTTTCCTTTGTTAGTGTTTCTAGAAACACCCCTCTGCACTACAGAGGGAATAATGCATATGGAATAATGCATATGTAAGAGTTGATTTAAATCAACTATACTTTGGGGATAAGAACAGAACTGCCCCACAAATGCCATGGATGTAGGATGTTAACGCAGTGGGGTAAAGGGTGGTGGGCTGGAGGGCCCTTCTCCTCTGCTGGTTCATCTTGCGACATACTCTCTCATACTACACTACCCCAAGTCCAAAATACATAAACAGAGGTCATCAAGCACACTTTGAAATCTCTGCAGCCTCTCTGGAGACGGGGCTGAACTGACTCCAGTGGAAATCTGGGAACAGAAACTCTGGTTGAAACTGGTTTTATGGATCCACCAGCAGGAACTTGTTAGTCCCACAGGGCCTGGGGACTGGGAGGGACCACACTGCTGGGAAGCCTGGGTGGGAGGGAGGGCAAAAGAGTGGAGAGAGGGAGGGAAGAGGCTTAGACAACCCTTGAAAAGGGTGGGTAGTGCTGGCACAGTGATCCCTGGAGTGGGTTAGATGCTCCGTCTAGGTTTGAAGGGACCAGGAAGTCAATACTGTCCAGAGAGGTCTGCTTAAAAAAGAAACTCACACAGCGCTGGGTCTATTTTCACTTTTCAACAAAGGAGATGACATTTTACTCCTGGACCAACTAACTATGCCATCTGCCCTACTCTTCTGCATTTTCAAATCTCTCCCTTCTGTGCTGCCTCAAACGGGAAAAGGTTCCTTTGCTTCATACTGTTTTGTGGTTGAGGGCTCACCACCCATCTTGATACATAATGTAAGCAGGCTCAAGCCATCTCCTCCCTCTGGAGGAGGACAATGTGCCTCAGTGGGAGGCAGTGGCATGCCCCAGGCTACTTGTCACATTGAGTGGCAGTGTCAAACCCAGAACTAAGAGGCCGGTGCCCTTTGCACAGAGCCAACAGGCTGGCACAAAGGAGAACAATGCACCTGGCATCCATCTGGCGCTCCTTGGAGTGGGGCACGGGTGGGTCCTGCTGGAGGACTGGGCTCACGTTGCATGCTGTCTTGTTGGCAGTGGAATCTGGTGTGTGAGGATGACTGGAAGACACCCCTCACCACCTCCCTGTTCTTCGTAGGCGTTCTCTGTGGCTCCTTCGTGTCTGGGCAGCTGTCAGACAGGTAAGGACTCTGGATGGGGAACAATGAGGTGGAGCTTCTTATATCAGTCCACAGCCTATCTTGACATAAATTCATAGGCTTTCTACACAGAGAAGGATCCTCAGGGCACCAAGTGGATAATAGGGGGAGCCTAGCACTTGGAAGGATGTTGTCTGAGGAGAGGATGAAAGGTTCCATGTCAGCCTGGACTCTATATCAAGACCCTGCCTGACTAACTAAAGAAATCTTTCCCAGATAAATCTAGTGTGCAACCCTGGCTGTAGCACCCCTCCATAACAAGACCTGGCCTATTTAACTAACTGAACAAACTGGCTAAGTAAATAAATAAGTCTTTCGCAGATGGTACTAACATGTAACTCTAGCCTCCACATCCCGCCAACGCCTGAGTCTGTCATGATCGCAGTCTTAACTCACTGGGCTTTGGCCAAAGAGATGGATGTATCAACTCCATTAGAAAGTGGGGCCCTTGCACCACAAGACCCTCCACAGAACAGATGCTGGTATCATCATTGCCCCTGCCTCTGCCCCAACTCTTGACAGGGCAGGGGGTGGGTGACATGTCATTCTGCCCAAACAGCCAACAGATAGAGTAAAGCTAAGTCACATGAGCTCTGCACTCTCTGAGCCTGGGAGCTGAGCCATGGCTGGGCCTGGAGCCACACAACTGACCCAGGCTGACTTTTGGCCATCAGAGCTTGCAGGCTTCCTAGGGACAAGACTGCAGTATCTTCAGTTATGCTCTGCCTTCCCTATATCTTCCCTTGTGGCCACAGCAGCTGGGAATGATAAACAGCAGTGTTGGACAAGGCTTCCTGGGGATCTGCCCCTCCCCAAAGTTTTAAGTACAGGGGGCATAGGGTAGGAATGCTCTACCCTGTCCATTGGTCACTACCAGAATGAAAATTAAAGCCTAAACTGACCAGTGACACAACAGACATGGTTGAAAATGGCATCTTCCCATTAAGCACTGGTTTGCAATTTTAGAGATACATAAACACACCAACTGCATAACACCCCAATACTCAAACTGCACTATAGACAACATGATTCAGGAGAAGAGGGGTGTGGGGATGAGTATGAGTATTCCTTGACGTTCCCTATGCCCTGTCCTGACAAACCCACCTAATACGACATGATAGCTCAGCTAACAGCCAAATGTAGAGGGCCAGGTGTTTCCCCTCACTGTCTTTCAAGAGTACAACTCACTGTTGCTGCTCAACATGGATAGAGAGGCTCACCGGCAGGAGAGTGGAGAAAACAGGAGTACAGGATTCAAAGCAGGAATTCTTACTAAATGCATAGCACTTCCCCACCACTGTAAAGTCACAAAGTTCTAAGTCGAACCATTCTAAGTCAGGGACTGTCATCATTTTTAAAGCTCTCTGGGTGGTTCCAAGTGCAGCTAAGGTTAAGAAGCAACAGCCCTTGAGGGAGTTTCTAAACATACAGAATTCCCAAGTGGGTGATAGGAGAAGTATCTGCAATCTGTACTTTGTGTTTTACTCACTTTTCACAGGCTCAGGATGGTCAAGGATGACCTCAAAATCACTACATAGCCAAAGATGGCCTTGAGCTTCTGATCCTTCTGCCTCAACCTCTCAAGTGCTGGAATTACAGACATGCACCATTTTGGGGATCAAAGCCAGGGCTTCATTTGGGCTAAGCAAGCGCTCATCTACTGAGCCATACCCCTAGCCCTCCTATGGCTCCTTCTAAAGATCAGATTTGTCCATGTGGTCCTCACAGAAGATGCCTGTTTCCTCCAGAAGCAAGGCTTAGCACCTCAGAAGGTAGTCCCTGGGCAAGCAGATTCTAGAGGCCTCTCTGGGAAGGAGGCTAACAGGATGTCACAGGGAAGAAAAGAATCTGAGTGCTGGGACAAGATGGACCCTACAGTGAAGCCAGGCTTGGTGTTGCAACACACCCTGAGTTACAGCATTGTGTTATCTTCTATAGGTTTGGCAGGAAGAAAGTCCTCTTTGCGACCATGGCTGTGCAGACTGGATTCAGCTTTGTGCAGATTTTCTCTACCAGCTGGGAGATGTTCACCGTGTTATTTGTCATCGTGGGCATGGGCCAGATCTCCAACTATGTGGTGGCCTTCATACTAGGTAGGAATGACTTTTGAGACTCGGGTTCTCTTCCTCCAACCTTGTAAAATGCCAGGCAGGAGGGAGCCACCAAGTGTGAGTTCAACTTTAGATACATGTGTGCTGTGGAGGGGGCTGTAGCTATGGGCACCTTGAGCCAGTTACTGCAGGACAGGGCTCAGAGGGGGCCATCTGTACTGGACCAGGATGCAGCCAAAAACAAGAGCTGGAGCTGGGAAGAAGTAGCCACACAATAGCTAAGACACATCCTCAAGAGCAAGGAAGGGGCTTGGGACAGGAGGTCCCGGAGAGGGGGGTGGTAAGGGGAGACAACAGGGAGATGAAGTCCTTGATCTGGCCTATAGAGTCATAAGGCTGGTGGCCTACAAAGGGATTTAGGGGGTTGATATGGTATATACACATATAAACATTGAGCACCTGCTCAGTGGCAAGAATTTGTCCCACCTGGGAAGATCTGCTGTGGCCTGAGTCTGAGTCCACACCCAGAGCATATGAGCTCTGCACAGCACAGCTGTGCTTCTCTGATAACAGTCCTACCGTTGGAAGGCTAGGCTGAGGGAGGGCAAGCCATCAGTTCCTAGGCCTGGGGGGGGGGGAGGCTCTGGACCCTCTCCAGCTCTCTGGGGAGGAAATGCAGTGAGCTTCTCCAAGATCATTCAGAGCTGTTCTCAAAAGTGTGATTCCCACCAATTTCTCTCTGATCCCTGCCCCCATCATGCTGAGAGGAGATGGAATGCACCCCCAGCACAGTGAACACCAAGTCCTACAATCTGTAGTACAACCATTCTAGGTGACCCGAAATTACCCCAGCTTGTCCCTATTGTCCCAGCATAATTATTGATTGGGCCTCTTTAATAGACTTCTAATGCCTTCCTTGCACCTGACCATGTGGCTCTGATTGCTCTCAGGAGCCTGTGACTCACTGGCCTTGGCAATGGTGTGTTCTGTTAGCTAAAGACATGCACACCCTCTGTCAGGTTGCCAAGGTGGAATTGTCCAAATTCCATTCCTTTAATTATTGGTGAAGGGCTTCTTGCCACAGGCCCAGCCTCATGTCTGAGAGAGAGGACACACAGGAGGACACAGAGCAAGCAGGAGCCACAGTGTCCCAGGAGGGAGCCCTCTATGGAGCAGGCCCTGCCATGAAGAAAGCAGTTCTCATCTACAGGGACAAGGAGTGGGACAGGAATTTTTCAGAGGTCATCTATGAGGCTGCACCCATGTTATCAGGAAGCAGAGACAGGAGAATGCTAAGTACCTAGCCTGAGCTACACAACAAGACCACAGCCCATAAAAGCAAAACAAACAAAACTCACCATTAAGAAAAACTACCATTCTGTGGAGGGCAGAGAAGTTTGTACAGAAAGAAAAGAGCTGCAAGCAGTGAGTGGTGTGACCCAGGGGAGACAAATCCAGAGCAGCCCAGGCCGGGATGCATTTTACTTAGAGAGAGAGAGAGAGAGAGAGAGAGAGAGAGAGAGAGAGAGAGAGAGAGAGAGAGAGTACATATGCATAAGTGTGAGCACAGGACTGTAGACTGGTGGAAGGCAGAGGAAATACCAGGTCCCAGGTGTCTTTCACAATTGCTCTCTACCTGTTTTGTTTGTTTGTTTTGTTTTATTTTTTTAATTCAATGCTTATTTTGCATATGGAAGGGGTACGAACATGCCATAGCACAGGTGTGAAGGACAGAGACCAACCTGATGTTCATTTTCTCCTTTCTCCATGTGGATCCCTGGGCTTCATTCACCTCAAGATGATCAGAATTGGCACTGAGCCAGCCAGCTAGCCACTCACCTCATCTTTTGCCATAAGATCTTACACTGAACCTGGAGCTCTCAGGCTAAACTGGCTGGCTGGTTGCCCACCCCGGGGATCCTCCTGTCTCTGCCTCCCCAGCAATGGGGTTCAAACCATGTTCCTCAGTGCCCAGCTCTTTTAGGTGGGCACTAGGGATTTGAACTCACTTTCTCATTCTTGCATGGCAAGCACTGGCCCAGCCTCCCAGGACCCCCGGCCCCAGCTGTTCAAGTGGCACAGAACACGCCCTGCTTCTCCAGAGACACGGGGACTCGAGCTCTGAGAGCCTCCTGTGTGAGAGTGGAGCAGCACCGCAACGCAACTCCGCACTACTTTCCACAGCCCTCCCTCCTCCCCACGTGGCCATGGCCTCACGTGCAGGGTAGAGGAGAAAAACAGAGAGGGCCAGGTCAAGGGTAGGCTGGAACTGAGGTGTGTCAAGTCAACAACCAATAGAGGGCTCCCTGTGTTCTTGGGTCCACACCGCTCATCCTAGCAGGCTCGACAGGAAACTGCTGACCTTAGGTCCTGGGATAACACTTGTGTTAAGACAAGCACTGAGAACTGATCTGTCCCAGAACAGGCAGAGTTCCTAGTCAGCTCCTCCAAGAGAGGACTTAGTGGAAGGACAGACATGGTAGCTGATGGTTTTCCTGCAGCACAGCAGCGCCCTCTGGCGTGTCAGGACTGAAATAGCTACATTCCAGGGGCGTCTGCTGGGGTTTTTCCTTGAAGCCAGATTTGAACCCAACAGGTTTTCATTTGAGAAATTCTGTCTGTCCCCGCACTTTTATCCTCCGTGCTATAGGGAAGAACTGGATGTTTCAGATGGTAAAAGTTCAATTTGAAAATCTACTTTGCACTGATTGCAGAAACTAAACTCTCCCTCAAAGCAGTACAGAGTTTCCTGGGCTGCTCTCAAACCTCCCAAGGCTTGCCAGCCTTAGATAAACAAAAGGCACACCAACTCATCCCCAATCAACACACAGTGTAGAGGAAGTGAGACTCAAGATCAGGGCCAATGACCCTCTCAGCCCAGCTTTCCCCAAGTCTGCATGTCATTCTCAGGCATAGCGCCCTCAACCTGCCTACAGACTTCTGGGTAAAATGGTGGCAGCAGCCTCTTTCATCCCCTGTGGCTCTGTTTTCCATAGGAAAACCTCACTATCTCCTGTCTTCACTGATTCATTAATTCTGTATTTTCCAGTACTTCTAACATCATAGCCAACCGCTATCCCTCACCCTCACCCACACCCACTCCTGCCATCCTGTGCTGTAACAATTCCTTTTTTTTTCTTCATTTGTGAGGATTTTTTTTTTTAAATCGGAGTGTATATTTTCCCCACTCTGCTTCTCTCCTCCCCTCTCCCCTTCCACCTTACCCCCACCCTTCCACACTGCCAATTTATTCAGGGTGTCTGGTCTTCTTCCCCTTCCTCGGTGGAGCCATGTATGTCACTCGTAGGATCCTCTTTGTTACTTACCCATGTTCTCTGGGGTTGTGCCTGTAGGCTGGTTATCCTTTGCTTTATGCCTAGTATCCACTTATGAGTGTGTACCTATTACATTTGTCTTTATGGGTCTGGGTTACCTCACCCAGGAGGCTTGGGCTAGTTCTGTTCACTTGCCTGCAAATTTCAAGATGCCATGTTTGTTTGTTTGTTTGTTTTTACCACTGAGTAGTACTCCACTGTGTAAATGTACCACATTTTCCTTGTCCACTCTTTGGTTGAGGGGCATCTAGGTTGTTTCCAGGTTCTGACTATTATGAATAATGCTGCTATGAACACAGCTGAGCAAGTGTTCTTGTGGTGTGAGTGTGCATCCTTTGGGTATATGCCCAAGAGTAGTATTGCTGGGTCTTGAGGTAAATTGATTCCCAATTTTCTTAGAACGGGCATACTAATTTCCAAAGTAGCTATACAAATTTGCATTCCTGCCAGCAATGGAGGAGTGTTCCCTTGACTCCACATCTTCTCCATCATTGGCTGTCATCAGAGTTTTTGATCTTGACCATTCTGACAGGTCTAAGATGGTATCTCAGAGTTGTTTTGGGTTTGTATTTCTCTGACAAGCATTTCCTTAAGTATCTTTTGAGCATTTGAGATTCATGTATTGAGAGTTCTCTGTTTAGCTCTGTATCCCATTTTTTTAAAATTGGATTATTTGATCTTTTGATGTCTAGTTTCTTGAGTTCTGTATATATTTTGGAGATCAGTCCTCTGTCAGACGAGAGGTTGGTAAAGATCTTTTCCCTTTCTGTAGGCTGCTATTTTGTCTTGTTGACAGTGTCCTTTGCTTTACAGAAACTTATGTTTCAGGAGGTCCCATTTATTCACTGTTGCTCTCAGTGTCTGTGCTACTGGTGTTTTTAGGAAGTGGTCTCCTGTGCCAATGTATTCAAGGCTACTTGCCACTTTCTCTTCTATAAGGCTCTGTATAGTTACATATTTGTGTAGTCATGTCTGGTTTTCATATGGGTCCTGGGGATTTGAACTCAGGTCCTTCTGCCTGATCAACCACTACTTTACCCTCTGAGTCCCCAGCCCATTTGTTTGTGGGTTTTTGTTGTTGTTGTTGTTTGCTTTTTTGTTTTTTGGTCTCATGTAGCTCAAGCTGGCGTTGAACTCAGAGTGTATGCAGCCAACGAACTCCTGATCATCCATCCCCCTTTCACTTCCTGAGTCTTAGGATTTTAGAGGGAGGTGCCACATCCAGTTTGCATCACTGTTACAGATAGTTAAAGACAAGACTTTCTTTAACTCCTTATGTCTCAGCTGAATATTTGCAAGACTAGAGTGAGAGATCATTTATGTAAGCAGTTAGCCTGGAATGGGGCTTAAAGAACTGCTCAGAAAAGTGATGGCTGTGAAGATGATGGTGGTGACAATGAGGGTGATGATAATGATGGTGATGGTAGTGATGATGATAGCAATAATGATACGTGATAATGATGTTGATCATGTATATCTTGGTTACTGTTCTGTGGCTGCAGGATACAACACCCTGACAAAAAGCAACTTAGAGATCAAAGTTTATTCTGCCTTACAGTTCCAGAGGGCTACAGTCTTAACAGGGTGGGGAAGGCATGGCAGCAGGCGCATGAGGCTGACCTGGCAGTCAGGAAATAGAGTGATAACGTTGCCTCCCCTCGTAAGTCCAGAGAGACAATGAAGTGGATTCAGGCTATAAAACCCCAAAGTCTACCCTTAGACATACTCCCTTCAGCAAGGCTCCACCTCCTAAAGGCTTCACCACCTTCCCCAATAGTGCCACCAGCTGAGGCTAACTGTTCAAATGCAGAAGCCTGTGGTGCACATTTCTCACTCAGATAACGGGAATGTATAAGAGAAAGACCCTAAAAGTTATAGAGCATTAGGCCTAATAAGGAGTTGTTTGTGTAGTCCACCTTGATCCACAGGCTGGCAGGTCTCTGTCCTTGCCTGGTACTTGGTACATGGCCAACTCATCCCAGGTCTGTTAGCATCTTCTCTAAGACCCTGTCCCAGTGCTACAGTTTTTCAGCTGGTCTCACTCATAAACAAGAATCTCTCTTAGTCTTCTGTGTTATTAACATGACTAGATTCTCTGCTTCTAGATTTCTGCTTAGGAAGCACACACACACACACACACACACACACACACCCCACATACCCATTCATTATCATATTATAATCTCAGCCAAAGACAGGCCATGGTAGAATGTATTCATTCATAAAGTAAGGAAAGATCTGGAAATGATATTCATGGAACTCCAAGTAATCAGACACTACTCTTGGGAAAGAGTCTGCGGGAGAGGGATGGCCCTGGGGTTACAAGTCTGGTCTGCACTGGAAATTGGGAGACACCCAGCAGAAGTTCAAAGCCAGCTTCAACTTTCTCAAGAAACTGAAACAAAGAAAAAAGAGAAGGAAACCACAGAGTGTGTGACTCACTTTCCCCCTTTTATTCAGACTAGGACCACATCCCACGTACTGGTGCTGCCCACATTTAGGAGGGGTGTTCCTAGCTCAGTTAACCCACTCCAGAAACTCACAGACATGCTCAGAGTTTTGTCTTCTGGGTGATTCTAGATCCTTCAATTTGGCAATCAGTATTACTAGTGTGGGCAGGCCCTGCATAAAAGGCAAGACTCTTGTCCTTGGTCATATCTCTGTCCTCAAGTCAGAGGGCTTAAAGTGGATAGAATTCTAGTGTGCTAGAATCCTGACCTGAGTGACAGTGCCATCTCTGAAGGCCTGGTGCTGGTGACAGCTGTGCTGCTTGCTACACAGGACAGAAACCAGCTGCCAGCACATCCTTCCCCAAACACTGCCAAGTGCACATGGCCTTGAGTCTTTATACTGGTCCCTGAGTGGGTGTTTAGTGCCTGGGCTGCCACTACAGGGACCGCAGAACAGCTCCTTCCTCTGGGAAGTCCCTGTGGAACATCAGCTCCAGTGCTGGCTGCCAGCTCTGGGAAGCTCCAGGAGCAGCTGACAGAAGGGTATCATGTATGAGGGTTCAACAACAGGGGTGTGTCCTGACAGCTGGGCACGCCACTGTTGTCTCATAGGCCAGTGTCTGTCCACATACAGACGAGAGTTGTGGACAAGTTGTGACCCCCACACAGTGTCTCAAAAGAACCACTTCCTGTCTCCCGGACAATAGTCTCTGTGTCTCCCACCAGCCTCTTACTCTGAAAACGCAGCATTCTCAGAGGCAGGTTTTTAGTTTCATTGGTAAAGTCTTTGTCAAGCATACATGGGTTCAGTCCCCAATAATGGAAAGAAATCCTATCTCAAAAGACAAATGCTGAAGAGAGTGGACATGCTAATTCTGCCCCTTGTTTTGAACAGGAACTGAAATTCTGAGCAAGTCAGTTCGCATTATCTTCTCCACGCTAGGAGTCTGCACGTTTTTTGCAATCGGCTACATGGTTCTGCCGCTATTTGCATACTTCATCCGAGATTGGCGGATGCTGCTGCTGGCACTGACACTTCCTGGAGTGCTGTGTGTCCCCCTGTGGTGGTAAGTACAACCTCCATTCCCAGTCAGCCCTCTGCTGTGGCAGACAGGCACCCCCAGAGATGAGTCCACTCCTCACCTAGCTACATCTGCATGCTCTCTGAGGCAGCCTGGTGCCACCAAGCTTCCAGCACTCCCTGCATCTCTGTGAGGGCACATGCACTGTACAGAGCCTGGTTCTCAGGCATGCTAGCCTTCTTCCAGATGTGTCCCACCCCAGTCTCATGCCCATTTTCTTGTTTTCTGTGGAGCTGGTAGTGTTGGACAATGTTTAAACTTTGTCCTTAGTTTGGGGCACTTTTTTTTTTTTTTTTAGAAAACTCTTTTCTCTATTCAACCACAGTTCAGTCCTCCGCAGCTACCCACATGTATAATGTAAAGAACAGAACTAGAAAATAGTGCCCTGAGCATGTTTAAACTGTTTTTCTTCTTATCCCCAAAACAGTACACTCCAGTCACTCGTATACTGTTTGCATTTTATTAGAGAGGCTGATGGAGGGTAGCTCAAAGGAAGAATACCCAAGGCCCATATCCAGCAAACTCCCCACAAATGTAGTGTTATACATTGTATTGGATAGTATAAGTAATCCAGAGGTGTATGTATATGATATGTGTATAGATTATATGTAAATCTTATACCTATTTTATTGAAGTTGTTTTGCTTTGTTGTGTTAGGATGGAACTTAAGACCTTGTGCATGCTAACAAGCAATCACCCACTGAGCTACACTCTAGCCCCAATTTTGTTTTAAATGGGGCCCTGTGATGTTGTATAAATTGGTCTTGAGCTCCTGGGTCCAAATGGTCTCCCACCTCAGCTTCCTGAGTAGCTGGCCTATAGACATACAGACCACTGTGCCTGGTTATGCCATTTGATGTAATAGGGTTGAACATGAGAGAATTTTGCTGTCTACCGGGGATCTTGGGACCAGTTCTACAGAGAACAGGGAACATGAAACTGCTCTTCATAGTTAGCATCTAAGGTGTACTCTCTCTCTCTCTCTCTCTCTCTCTCTCTCTCTCTCTCTCTCTCTCTCTCTCTCTCCCTCCCTCCCTCTCTCTCTCTCTCCCCCCCCCCTCTCTCTCTCTGTGTGTGTGTGTGTGTTGTCCTGAAAAAAAAAAAGGTAATTATTTTCAGCAGAGTCTCCTGTATTCTAGGCTTACCCTGGATTCCTCAATAGGAGCCAAAGGTGGCCTTGTATTTCTTATCCTTCTGCCTCTGACTCCCAAATGCTAGGATAACAGGTGTTTGCTACCACAAACAGCTTATGCAGGGTTAGACATGGAGCCCTGAACATCACATATGCTAGGCAAGCTCACCCTGAGTTACATTCCCAGCTCCCCAAATTAGCTGTGTTTGAATAGCCTTAGTGAAGGTGTTATTTCTCCTATGGACCCCCATCCATGAGAACATTCATTTTAAATGGAGATTGAACCTAGGATTCTGTGCATGCTGATCAAGGGGTGTGCCACTGAGATGATGCCCTCAAAGGCTTCCCCAACCCAGTTTGGAACAGCACTTGTGGAAATAGCCAAGACTGGAGATTCTTGCCTAAGTCTCACCATGTAGGAATAACTGGAGAATTCGGGAAGAGAACAGAACAGATTTCTTATTTGTTTTTTGATTTTTTTTGAGATAGGGTTTCTTTGTGTAGCCCTAGCTGTCTTAGAACTTGCTTTGTAGACAGGCTATCTTCTAACTCAGAGATCTGCCTGCCTCTGCCTCCTGCGTGTTATTATTAAAGCCATGTACCACCACAGCCTGACAAGAAGAGATTATTAAAAAATGGAAATAAAGTGCTAGCCATAGCCCCCTCTTCAGAATTTCCCTCCTTAACTATCAAATTTAAACAAGACAAAAGGAGACCACTTCCCAATTATTCACTTCCTCTCTCTAATTCATCTTGGTTTTATTGTGTTCTATCAAAATCCAGTCTCCTAGAAATGACCTATTTGACTAACTGCTCAATTGCCACCTGCTTACATGACTAAAGTAATAAAGGCTTCTTTGGTCACTTCATGGGATTCACAGTTTAGTCCTATTGGTTGCCCTATGACGCCTGTCTGGAAAATTGACTAGGACCTTCATTTTTTTGCAGCTGTCATGCAGCCACAGGAATTGACAAGTATCCTCCCTTGCCTTATCTGAGCGGATGGCTCAGCTCTATTTCCTTTTACCTCCAAGATGCTAAGGTTTTTCCAACAGTGACATTTTAGAGAGAGGAGTGTATGAAGGTTCAGTTGGATTTAATATCTGGAAAAAATAACCTTTCTTGCTTTCTCTTGCTGTTTATTTCACTGGAGTTTGACAGGTCATTTAATTTTTCTTAGTTTTATGCATATGGATGTTTTGTCTGCATGTGTGTCTGTGTACCATATGCATGCGGTACCCAGGACAGCCAGAAGAGAGTCTTAGATCACCGGAACTGGAGTTACAGTTGTTGGTGACCATGTGGATACTAGGAATCGAACCCAGGTCTTCTGGAGGAGTAGCCAGTGCTCTTAATCTACTAACCCTTGAAAGACAGATTTTGAAGAGCTAGATATTATGCTGATTTATCTGGAAGTTTCCTCTGGAACCCAGGCTAAGGATCAGTAAGGAAGGGCAGGCCACATGCCACACAACTCTGCCCAAGAGAAGTTCCATATCAGTTGCTTTTCTTATTGCTGTCACAAAATACCTGATGAGGAAGGAAGGGTTTGCCCTGTCTCACAGTTTAGGGGTACAGTCCATCACTGCAGGGGAGCCGTGGCAGCAAGAGCTTGAGGCTGCTAGTCACACTGTGTCCACAGACAGGAAGCAGAGAGGGCGAGTGTTGGTGCTCAGCTCACTTTCTCCGTTTATTCAGTCTAGCCACATCAGAGTGTGTCACCCCTCCTCATTTAACTCAGTCCAGAAACTTGTCAGGAGCTTGCCCAGAGGTTTGATATAGATTCATACTCTAGAAATAGTATTTATGTGCAAAAATAAAAATAAAGAGTATTTGCAACATTAAAATGACCTAGGCTTATTTTGCTATGTGTGTTTGCTAACATCAAAAGGTTGTAAAACGTTAGGAACCAGTGCAAATAAATCCTAGGTTTATTCCTGAATCTCCCCGATGGCTGATATCCCAGAGGAGATTTGAAGAGGCAGAACAGATCATCCAGAAAGCTGCAAAGATGAACAGCATCGTGGCACCGGCAGTGATATTCGATCCTTTGGAGGTGAGTGAGCACGTGGTACGGACACCTTCTTTTGAGATCAGCTTTGCAGCCTTTCTTTTATGGAATTTAATGTAACTAACTATTTGTTAAGGGGCCACAATGCACCAGGTACTGCACTGGGTATCAGGGATGTAATCATGATTACATTCTCAGATAAAATCTCCGGAGGCATGGTGCTGCATACCTGTTGTCCAGCCTTCTCAGGAGGCAGAAGCCTGAGACTTAGGCCAGGCATGTAGGGCCAGCTTGAGTAACATAGTAAGATGTCATCTCTCTTACTAAAACTACACCTAAAGGATTATTTATACATTAAAAACAATGTTAGGCATTTGTGGCATTTTGTTTTGTCTTGGTTTGATTTGGTTTTGTTTTTTTGAAACAGGGTTTCTCTGTGTGTCCCTGACTATCCTGGAACTCTCTCTGTAGACCAGGCTGGCCTTGAACTCACAGAGATCATCCTGCCTCTGCCTCCCAGGTGCTGAGATTAAAAGCATGCCCACCATTGCTTTTTTGTTTTGTTTTGTTTTTGTTTGTTTTGTTGTTGTTGCTTTTAACTCTTTCAATACACAAGCCCAGTTGCTGACTGGCAGTTTTATTCCCTTAGTACTCAATTTGTGTAATTCTTTGTGAATTATGGACCTTAGCCCTTTGTCTGCACTGTAGCTGGTAAAGAATTTCTCCCATTCTTTGAGCTATTTTCTCTGTGATCATTTGCTGTGTAGAAACTTTTAATTGCATGTTGTTCTATCTGCTGGTTTCCTGTGCTGGTGGGGCTCTGTTCAGAAAATTCTTCCTTACCCCAGTGTCTGAAAGGGCATTTCTTAAGTTTTCTTCTAGAAGTTTTAGCATTTCCAGTTTTAAATTAAGAAAGTCCTTTTATCCATTTTGAGATGATCTTTTTACAGGTGAAAGACAGTAGACTGATTTCATTCTTTGCAGGTGACAATCCAATTTGCCAGCATCATTTGTTAAATAGGCTATCTTTTTGTTTTGAAAGTTTCCAACTTTGTGTTGGCATTTGCACCTAACCATTGATGATTTTTATAACATAATGTTAATTGATTCTTTAGGAATTTCACATCATGTACCCCCAATCCCATTCATCTCCATGTTCATCCTGTACCCACATCATTCCTCCATCCACATCATTTCCTGCCTCCCTGTCACATATTCCTTTGTCATGGTGGCACTGGGAGCTGTGATGTGTCACACAGTAAACCCTTTTGCCCAAACAGCTTTACTTGCAAATGTTCACTGCAATGAGCTGTTGGTCTGATTCCAGGCCTCTGGTCTCCGGTGCACTATCAGTACTGGGCCCTCACTGGAACTTCTCTTGGATGTCCTGCTGTTGCCCTGAGTCATGGAGGTCCTGCAGCTATGGTTCTGTAGGATCATCCCTTCTCATGCTCCAGCAGCTCATAGGGCAGAGATGTAGGAGTGGGCCAACTCAAAGCCCTGGATATGGGCCAGGATGGTAGCTGAGTTGATCAGTATGGGCCTCCACAGGGATGCTTCCTCAAGAAAGGGGCAGAGCCACCTCTCTCACACCCCTGCCCTAGGGGCCAGCTCTCCTGCTGCAGCTGCCCTTGAGGGGTGGGCCCAGTCTCCTGTGTCCAGGGTACTGGGGCTAGGTCTCCCATGAGGGGTGGTGCCGGCTCTTCCCCTGGGGTGGCTGGCGAGGGTTGGGGCAGTGAGGGGCAGGGCCAGCTCAGCACAGCTCTTGGACCGCAACATGGATCCAGGTGGCAGGCAGACCCCAGAGCATCTGCATGGCTATGGCCTTTAGCCACAGCTCAGGCCTGAACAACACCATGGCCTCGGGTGGCGGTGCAGCCCACCCAGATCATTATTTCCCCAAAGGCAGCTTGACCCTCTGACATCAATACAGCCTCAGTGGTGGCCCAGACCACAGGAATCCATATGGCCCTTGGTGTTACCATGGGTCAGGGACAGCTGCAGTTGGACCACAGACCCAGACATGATCCTCAGCTGCAGCCAAGTTCAGAGGTCAACATGGCATCAGGTGGCAGCACAGGTCCCTCTAAACAATATGGTCCCAGCAGCAGCAATGCCCTGAGGCATTAACATGGTCTCAAGTGGTGGCCCAGACCGCAGGCTTCCACCTGGGCTGGCCCTCAGTGGTAACATAGGCTACAGACATCAACACAGACCCTGGTTGTGGCAGGGCCACAGACTCAGACACATCCCTCAGTGCCAGCAAGGGCCTGGATATCGCATGGCTTCAGGACTCTTTCCAGAAGCAGCTACCTAGGCCATGGCTGGATCTTCATTCCAGTGGCCATGAACCCTAGCTCTTAGAGGGCTGCCTGAACAAAACATCCTTAATCCTTTGCTGTTTTAATTCAAAAGTTCATCCCAATGCTAGTAAACTTAACTAGGTACAAAACGGACATTGGTCATAAATAATGCTTCTGCCTTTCAGGGCTATGTGTGTATTATTATTTAGCAGATAGAAAGCTTTATTCCTATCTTCAAGAAATGTACAGTGTGATCATGTGGTTATGGAGATAATATCTACACAGAGGAAAGCATCATAAAATTGACATGAACAAAAAAGAACAAAGTCCAGAAACTCAAACCCCTAATGGGACCTTTTTTCTGCCTGCTGTGATGTGCATCTATTTTGAACTGGACACTCCCACTAAGGGAAAAGGAGCCCTTGATTTCCTAGCCCTGACATCATCCCTGTTCACCACCTGCTAGGATCCTGTGTAGGAGGATCTGCAGCAGCCTGAACCAGCCAATGCAACCTATCCAGAATGCCAGTAGAGAGACTACATACAAGGCAGTCTGTCTGATGCATGTGATACTCATGTCAGGAAAGGAAAATGGAAGCACAGAGAAATGACTTAGCAGAGATCACACTGCTGCTGAGCTGTGAATTTCCTGGGTTTCTCTGGGTTCGAATGCATGTTCTAATGAATGGCAATTTTCAGTTTATGTCAGGGGTTGTTGCATTAACTTGGACAGGAAACCATGTAGAGTCACATCATCATGAAGAGTAACCTTATGCTTCCCTGGCTTTGGAAGAAGCCCCTTCAACCTACTCGTGTACCTTATCCAGAGACATTTGGGTGGTTTCCCCTAAATAGAGACAATCAGTTGTCCTGATGTTTCTGTACCTTGTTGCTAATCATGGTCACCTATGAAGCTTCAAGTAAACAGGTTCCCAGGTCTCTTGTCCCAATGAAAGATTCAGAGGAAGCTGGCCTGAGGGAACCTGGCAGTCTGCATTTCAACAGAGTCCCTACGGAAATGGAATGTGTTGATCTAACCTGGCTCTTGGGTCCTGTGATGTATGTGGAATTCCTAGAGCCCTGCTTGGATACTTCCAATTCCCATAAGTTTAGGCTTTTCTTTATGCTAGCCATTGTATTGTATGTATGTATTGTACTGTATTGTTATATATTGCTGGAGATAAGTCATCCACACATTGCACAGAGTAAAGGCACCATGATGGCTGAGGAGATGGCTCAGTGGTAAAAGTGCTTGCCATGCTAGTGTGAGAATCCAGGTTCAGATCCCCAGAACCCATGCAAGTGTCTAGAAGTCATGATGGCCCATTTATAATTCCAGCATTGGAAGGTAGACAGAGTGTTTTAGTTACTTTTCCATTGCTGTTACAAAACATCATGTCCAAGGCAACTTAAACCATTTAATCGACCTTGGGTTTCAGAGGTTGAGTCTGTGATGGCAGAGCAAAGGTATGGTGGCAGGAAAACTGAGAACCTTGATCCACAAGTAGGAGGCAGAGGGAACACACAGGAAAGAGTGTGTCTTTCAAAACCTAAAATCTGTCCCCAGTGACACACCTCCTAATCCTTTCCAAATAGTCCTACCAACTGGAGGCTAAGCATCAAACATATGACCCTATAGGGCATTCTCATTCAAACCACCATATATGGGATCCCTTGAACAATCAGGCCAGCAAGATTAGCCATGTTAGAGACTCTAGGTTTCTAACCTAGATGGGAGAGTGGCTGAAGATGATTCCCAGCATCAACCTTGAGCCTACACATGTACATGTACACAGACACACACAGACACACACAGACACACACACACACACACACACACACACACACACACACACACACACTGCCATAGTCATTTTGGAGCTTCATGGCTCTTTCAATTCAATAGGCTTTACAGATCCCAGCTCAGTATGATAAAGGCTACTCACATGTGAAGGCTGAGTGGAGGAAAGGCTGGTCAGCACTCATCAATGAGGCTAATGCCATTTATTTCGATGGTTGCTATCTAAAATGAGCTACATTAAACATTTTAAAGCACTACAAACTCAGGAAACAATATGGAAGATGGGGCAGAAAGAGCAAGAGCCAGATGATGAGGAGAAATTATGTGAAATGCCAGCTGTTGGACATGACATAGCCATTGCGCTAAGGAGCCCTACAAGACCCAGCCCTTCAACATCCCAGCATGGGAGTGGGAGATCCCATCAATCCTTGGTCCTAGCTGAGGAGCTATTGGTAGGCAATGGCTGCTGGTAGAGAAGAGGGAGTCAATTTCTTCATGGGTGTAACCTAATATGAAAGGGGGAGGAGAACGTGCTGGAAGAAGAAAGATTCCAGAGGGAGTGGGTGGAGAATATGACCAAAGATCCATTAGAGGTATGCATGAAGTTGTCAACGCCTGAATTTAGAATTATGTTTAAATAAAGAGTTAGAATGGTCCCGTATTTGGAGATGTCGTTGGTGCCTTTAATTTGTGGACTTGAAGACTCATCAAAGGTTCTATTAGAGTTGTGGGAATGGGCTAGAATGTAGTTCAGTGGGTAGAATGCTCACCTGGCACATACAAAGTTTCAGTCCCTAGCATCAAACTGGCATGCCAGTAATCCCAGCACTGTGGAGGTGGAGGAAGGAGGGTCTGAAGTTCAAGATCGTGTTCATCTATATAGTGAGTTAAAGGCCAGCCTGAGATACATGAGACACTGTCTTATAGTAACAATAATGATGATATTATTAATAATAATTTTTAAATTAAATTTTAAAAAAGGAGTTGTGTGCCCAGGATTTTCCTATAGGTACTTCCTGCCTACCTTATCTCATGTTTTATTTATGTTACTATAGCTACAGGAGCTAAATTTGTTGAAGAAGCAGAAAGTCTTTATTCTGGACCTGTTCAAGACTCGGAACATTGCCACAATAACAGTGATGTCTGTGATGCTGTGGTAAGCAATGAGTGCTCCGAGAATGGAGATGTGTGACACCCACATTCAAAGGGATGTGGCAAAGCTTAGGCTTCCCCTGAAGAAAAATGAGAATTGGGGAATTCTAAGGTCTTTAGACATATTTTGGATTGATTGATTGATTGCATACTGGGAAAGTTATAGGTAACAACAAGTCTGTAGTATTAGGACCCCACTTGGAAGATGATGGACTTGAGGCTGCAGATGCCCCTGGAGACCAAAGTTAAGTCTCTACCTGCTTTCTGAACTGAACAGTGATGTTAGTGTAACCTGCCTCCCAGTAGCAAATTAACATGTAAGTTTAAGGCACAGAAGTAATGACCTCACATTATTAACTAGATTTAATAACAAATCTTCAAAGAAATGAGGAAGAAAAAATAATAACCTATCTGACCCAGAGATAACAACACACACACAAAGCTGGGTACCAGAATTAGCAGTCTCTCTAGTTTAGAAAAAAATATCAGCCAGGTGGCAGTGATCCTAGCACTTAGGGAGGCAGAGGCAGGCCAATCTCTGAGTTCGAGGCCAGCTTGGTCTACAGTGAGTTCCAGGATAGCCAGAGATATACAGAGAAACCCTGTCTCAAAAAATAAAAAAGAGAGAGAGGAAAAAAAAAGAAGGGAAAGAGAGAGAAGAAGAAAGGAGAGAGAGAGAGAGAGAGAGAGAGAGAAACATCCTGGGCTACAGTCTCTATGAGCTGTCTTCATTCTTAGCTGTCTGCACATATCACTCATGCAATGTATCCTACTAATGGCACCAGTGAGCCAATAACCACCAAGACCTAGCCCCATCCAAGCTGTTCTTACACCACATGTGAACGTCACTGACTCTCTGCAGCAATAAAGTTAACTTTTTCATGTTGTTTTGGATTAGTCCTATGTCCCCACCTGGTCTAGTAGATAGAGACCAAGCATATTCCTGAAAGCCTTCTTCAGAGATGTATACTCTCCAGCCATGCTCAGATGTCCTCACAGGGGCATCTGCACTGTTGACTAGTGGTCTATTCAGAATGGCGTTGTTCTACAGCACCTTCTATAGAAACAGAAATACTGGGGATCTGTGTTGTCCATCATAATAGCCACCAGACTCTTGTGGCTACTAAGCATGTGAAGTGTCATTTCAACTGAGAAGCTGAACTTATAATCTCACTTTTATGTATTTCCACGTAGCCCCACATGGTTAGTGACTGCTTAGAGGACACTGGACCTAGACCAATTCATGACCACCACAAAAGTTTAGAGAGACATGAGCCATCCTTTTGTGATTGTATCATTTGCTGTCTTTCAGGATGCTAACCTCTGTGGGTTACTTTGCTCTCTCTCTCAATGTTCCTAATTTACATGGAGATATCTACCTGAACTGCTTCCTCTCTGGCCTCATTGAAGTTCCAGCTTATTTCACAGCCTGGCTGCTGCTGAGAACCCTGCCTCGGAGATACATCATAGCCGGGGTACTGTTCTGGGGAGGAGGTGTGCTTCTCTTGGTACAAGTGGTACCTGAAGGTAAGAAGTTAGCCCAGGCTAAAAGCATCCCAGAAAACCTGGACATATTAGAGTATCAGTACTGATGACCAGCCTCTCACGAGTCACCACTCCCCCATAACACAGCTCTGATGTCACCAAATATTCATCAGTCAGATAGGCAGGTGACAGCTGACTAGGATGTTTCCTATGTTCCCAAACAATTGTCCCAGTAGGGATGGTAATCCATCCCTATAATCTCAGCACTTGGGAGGTAAAGGAAGGAGGACCAGTTCATAACCAGTTTCTCTTACATAGCTAATTTGAGGCCAGCTCAGGCTGCATGAGACACTGTCAAAAAACACAAAAGCAGCAAGATAGTGCAAGCAGAATGGTTCAGTGGGTAAAGGTGCTTTTCACCAAGCCTGAGGATCTGACTTCCATCTTTGGAACCCCATGGAGAAAGGAGAAAATTGACCATAGCATCTCTCCCTCTCATCACACACATGCCCTGACACACACTTGCCAACAGAAATAAATAACTAATGAATGTGGAGATGATGCAGTAAGACTAAATAATAACAAAAAACTCCAAAGCCAAAAATAACACCAAGGAAGATATATTTCCTTTTTCTAGTGTTTAACTTTCTCCTTTTGTTAAAAAAACAGGCTGATATATTATTGATACATTGTAATATGCAAAGAACACTGTTTCTTTTTGTTGTTAACTTTTTAAACCCCATGCAGTACTAAGGTTTAAACCTATAGCAAGAACTCCACCATGGAACCATAACCCAGCCCTTTGTTTACTTTTATGTAGTAACCTAGCCTGGCTTTGAACTCATTACATAGCCTAGACTAGCCTTGAATGTGTGATCCTCCTGCTTCAGCCAATGAAGTATTAGTAGCTGGGATTATTAGAATGCACCAGGAGCTGGGAGGATAGCTGAGTGGGTAAAGTGCATGAGGACCAGAGCTCAGATTCCAGAACACAAATAAATGCTGGGCAGACATGATGATTCACCTGTAATTCTCATTTTGCATGACTACACATATGCAAAAGCATGCAAACAGCATATACACATAAACACCACACACACACCCAAAAAATGGAAAAAGATTAAAAAAAAACATGCACCACTGAGCCCAACTAGATCTAGATTTGTTAATAATAAAAATCAGGAAAGGAATGGCTGGGTCTTCTCTTTAGAGATTAAATTTAATTGGATTAACATCTAACAACTCACCAAGAAACTGTTGTAACAAATGAGATAAGTGGACAGAGGCCACAGTATGCATTAATAATCCAAAATAAGAGTAGCTCAAAGCCCAAGGCCACCCATCACCTCCATCTCCAACCATCTGGTGATGAGGATGTTTCAGGACAGAGTCTTGTCCAGGGGTACTTTATGAGGAACCATCACATTGCAGCAAAAAGGACAGTAAGGTGAGTTCAGTGTGGATCCTGGAAGCACCCTGTCTGAATTGAAGCTCTCTTCCAGATTATAACTTCGTGTCCATTGCCCTGGTGATGCTTGGGAAATTTGGGGTCACCTCTGCCTTCTCCATGCTGTATGTCTTCACTGCAGAGCTCTACCCAACCCTGGTCAGGAACATGGCTGTGGGCATCACCTCCATGGCTTCTAGGGTGGGCAGCATCATCGCTCCCTACTTTGTTTACCTGGGTGAGATGTGTCTTGTTCTGTCATTAAATTTGTGTGTGTGTGTGTGTGTGTGTGTGTGTGTGTGTGTGTAAATTTTTATGTGTATTTTGCATGTGGGTGTACATGAACTGTGAGTATGAACAAGGGCCTTCCTTGGCCAGCCCCCTCAGGAGGAGCTGGTGTGTGTCCTGTTCTGGTCACACTGTTGCCGAATCACTCTCCATACTTTGGCTGTTAAGTTTTACAGCCCCCATTACAAGGAACAGTTCATCTTAAAGCCCTCAACAGTGTTTTTTTCATGATGATTCTCAGTGACCCCTTGGATGTAGCAGTAAGACTCAGTTCTCTCTCTCTCCTCTCTCTCTCACACACACACTCACACACTCTCTCAACAAATTCTGATCAACTGTTTTACCTGAATGTAAGTGTAGCACTTTTGTACATGGTGTCCAGGGAGATCAGAGGAGAGTGTCTGATCTCCTGGAATTGGAGTTATGCAAGGTATGAGCCACTCTCCAGGCCTGAGTTCTTATGTGGATAAATACCTCGATGTGAGCAGGAAGCAGGCAAAGGGATGGAAAAGCAAAGGTTCTGACTAGTAGACATGAGTTAGGATTCCTTGTTCCTGGTGGAACCAGACTCGAGAAGGGCTATGAGAGCAGGTACAGATGACACACAGTGTAAGGATGAACAGTACTCAGAAGGGGCTGTTGAGGCCTGCCCAGAGGTTCAGTGGCTAGGCTCAAATTTTCTTTGTGGTATATATGAGTTCTTTATAGTGCTAAGAAGTTAGCCTTATGTATTCATTTTATACATACTTTATAAACATTTTCCTAGGTAATAACTTACAGTTTATGTTATTGTTTTGGTGTTTTTGTTTGTTTTGTTTTATTTTTTGAGAAAGGAGTTCTCTGAATAGATTTGGAGCCTGTACTAGATCAGGCTGGCCTCAAACTCACAGAAATCCACCTGCCTCTGCCTCCTAAGTGTTGAGATTAGAGGCATGAGCACCACCATCCTGCCTAAGACAGAAATTTTTATTTCTGTATAATCAAATATAGCAGCCTTAAGTACTATTAAAAGGGCTTTAGCAGAATATTGTTCAGTGTCCCAAGCCTAGTCTTCATTAGGCCTTTCTTATTTTTCTTGCTCACAAGTTGGTTACCTACAGGATCACACACACACACACACACACACACACACACACACACACCAGAAATGAATTCTCAGAAAAGATACACTCTAAGTCCATACATAGAAAGAAACACATTTTCCTAACTTTAACATTCCCTCCATGCACAACTGCCCTGAGCACAGCTGTGGAGAGCACAGAGTGTCATTCCTCATTACATATAATACATATATCTAATGAGAAATGACTGTATGTAGATGATCCAGTGCTGGGCCAATGGTTCACAAGAAGCAGAGCCCAAGAAAGAGACCTTAGTATAAGAAGCTATTCCTGTTAGCAATACAAGGCCACAGAGAAGCCTCAAGAGCAGTGTTTACCTTCTCAAACAAACAAATAGTACATGCATGAGTGTGTTGTTTCTCTATTCTGTGTGCAGAGGAGCAGCAAAGGTCTCTTGTCCTCCTGACTCAATAGCTCCAAAAAGAGAAGTGGAGTAAGGCTACTGTAGGCCTCAGTCAGTACAACCCTTGTCACTAAGCAAGCACAGAGCCCTGGGCTTGACCCCCAGTACCGATTAAATAATAAGATGTTCAAAAGCCATCCTTTGATATATTGCTAAGTCCTCCTACCACCCACCTTAAGTTACCTCTACCGAAGGAAGCTTTGATAGTGAAGACTTCTATCCAAGGAACATCTGTCATGCACAGTTGGACAATAGCTTAGAGCTTAACAGTATGCTAATGTGCAAACAGGGGGGTGTAAATAATTGTAGGAGTGCAGGCTGTGGCAGCTCACTGGAACAACCTATGTATTTTGCTGACTTTCCTTCTTCTGAGAATGTTTAGCTCACATCTGCTCTCACAGCCTGTCTGCACCCTGACAAAATGACTCCCAGGAACCCATGCACATCTGACTGCTGCTCTGTGTTTTACAGGTGCCTATAACAGACTCCTGCCCTACATTGTCATGGGCAGTCTGACTGTCCTGATTGGGATCATCACGCTTTTTTTCCCTGAAAGTTTTGGAGTGGCTCTACCAGAGAACTTAGATCAGATGCAGAAAGTAAGAGGGTAAGTAGCAAAAGGACTGGAATAATAAACATGGGAGAATGTCTAGCATGGTCTGAAAGAGAGGAGCACTGAGTAGATGGAAATCAGGGAGGACACTGAAGAATATTGGCATGACAGGGGTGTAGGAATAGAGACCAGTGGACCAGGATGGCGCCCAAGAAAATAAGAGTTAAAACAAACAAACCGTATAACAACTTAAAATCCTTTGGGGAAGGCAAGGCATACACCTGTAGTTCAAGTTTCAATGGAGAGTCACATGAGTACAGGAGTTCAAGACCATCCCAGATCTAATAATGAACCACTCAGTGTCCATCCATCCATATATACTTACATAAGTACATATGCAAAAATACTCAGATATTTTCAATAAAGAAAAAAATTGAACCCTTCAAAATACATCAAGACAAATTCTGGAACAAAAACAATATTTAGGAGTAAAAATACAAAATCATGAATCTATAAGAAAAAACAATTAGTATAAACCAGAACTGAGCAGAGAGGGGGAGATGAAATCAAGAGTTAAAGGTCATCCTACACAGTGAGACCCTGGCCCCAAACCAACCGATCAAACAACAACAACAAAAAAAAAAAAACAGTAACAAAATCAAAGTGGAGAGGCAAGGGGAAAGAGATGAGGCACAGATGCAGACAGAGGCTCTACCCCAAGCTCTGCAGTCTGTGGGAAGAGGTGTTTCCAGCAAGGGAGAGGAATGGACTGCTTAGAGAAGGTAAAGTTTAAGTGTGCAGCACACATGAAAATCAAGCTACTCATCATATGTATAAAGAAATAGAGGAGCCAGTGAGGTGGCTCAGGAGGTGAGGGTGCTTACACCAATACCCAGCACCTGAGTTCTGATCCTTGAACCCAGAGTGGAAGGAGAGAATTGATTCCCCAGGTTATCCTCTGTAGTAGATGCTGTTCTGTTGTTGTGATAAAATGCTATAGCCAAGAAGAACTTACAAAGAGGAAGTTTATTTTGGCTTACACTTCGTTAGCATCCATGTAAAAAACAGGCAGTAATTCCTTAATCCCATTACTGGAAAAGCAGTGGCAGGGCTAACCCTGAGACTTGCAGCCAGCCAATCTGGTCAAATCAGTGAGCTCCAGGTTCAGTGAGAGGCACTGCCTCAAAAACTGAGGTGAGGACATCCAACATGCACCTACATACACAGTTGTGCACACACAAATATACACAAATATCTGGGTGTTCCCACAACCTGGCTCAATTCTGATACTACAGTTAGCGTCAGACCCCACAGGTAGGTGTCAGGGCCCAGTCTCACACCTTTCTCAAACTGCAGGTGCCGGCCACAGGTTACTCTCACTACTGTCTCACTTGGCTATAAAAGTCTGGGGTCCTGCAGCTCCCATTTTTGTGTTCAGTCATTTGTTTAAAAGCCTCACAGAGCTTAGGGGAACACTTCCCTTGCCATCGCCACTGTCTTAAGAAGGATGCAGGCAGGTGTATGCTGGAAGACCCTGAGCTGAGCATGGGGCTCCTGTTCCTGTGGGTTGGGGGAGCACTACTTTCTTGACAGCAGAGGTGGTCAGTGAGAAGCTCCCCAAACCCCAGTGTCTGCAGATTCTCCATCCTGTGGGCTTGAGTGCCCATTAACTCTATCCTCACCCTGCTCTTCTCCGCAGAGGCTGAGAGCACAAAGCCACAAAGGTAAAGGTTTGTGCTCTTAGATGAAGGCTGCTTCTTTCTGGCCCCATGGTGGGGTCAGCTAAGAGCCCCTCATAGAACCAAAACAACACATCACCCCCATCACTCAGGAAACCACAAGACATTGAGGAGCTCTGTGCCAGGACCCAGAGGCAAAGACCAAACATCCTGTGATAGCACAGCTTGGTGGGCACAACGCTCAGTGGAAAAGTTGAGACTGAGCTGTGTCTGCCTGGCTTCAAACTTATGACATAAATTTGGGGAAATTATGTAAGTTTTCTTAACCTGTAGCCTTCCCATTTATTACATGGGAGTATTTCACGAGGCTGCCTAGGCCTTCTATGAGGTAAGTGTTAGCCATGGCTGGCCATAATAAAGCCATCTCCATCTGTGTAGATACTGGTCTGTCAAAAATTTGTACAGGTGCATGTGTTTGAGAAGAGTTCATCTAATCATTATAATTCCTCAGTATAATTCTTCAGTATTGCTATGAACTTCCTGCTACCCCTCTAGCAATTCTTCAGAAAAACTGAAGAGCTTAGGTTCCAAGCTTTGTGTTTAATCAAGAAAGTAGTTTCAAATAAAACATAAGGTCTGCACCTGTTAGGTTCTTTAATTGAGTCCACAGGTTTTCATTGGTCAAGTGGAGAAATGTTTTCCGATGTCAGTCTGGTGTTCTAAGGAGAAGAATCCTAACTGTTTAATTTTCAGCATTTGTTTTATTTTCAGGTTCAGATGTGGGAAAAAATCAACAGCCTCTACAGACAGAGAAGAAAACCCCAAGGTTCTAATCACTGCATTCTAATAAGGGTTCCTTGGCACTTAGCCAACTGGAAATCAGATGTGTCAGATGAGCTGGGGGTGATAGAACACGCCTGTAGTCCCAGCCCTCTAGAGGGGAAACCAGGGGCATCAGGAATTCAAGGTCATCCTTGGCTGCATCAGGAATGCAAGACCAGCCTGGACTACATGCAACCCTGTCTCAACAAAACAAACAAAATCAAAGCCATTCCTGCTGAAAGGGACTACTAGAAGCAATGGGCATTAAGCTGGACTTGTGGAGAAATACATGTTGTCATCTAAACTCTGGGCCACTCTCCCAGATAATCTTCTTGTTTTTAAGAACAAACATTACTAAACTGTCTGGACAACTAACTAGTCAAAGAAATAAGTTTGTAAGATTTTTATTGAAAATGTGTTAGTCGGGGATGGCAAAATCCATATGAAGATTAACACATGTTTCCAAATTGCTACCCAAATAAAACTGATTGTATTATCACAACTATTAGATGATAACAGTGCTTACATGTCTGTGTGCATTCAGGGTGTGTTTGTGTAAGGGTAGAGATGATCTAGCACATTCAAAACAAGAGTGGTTTTGTTGTTGTTGTTGTTTTAATTAGACTCATACAGGACTGTAGCCAAATGATCACTTGGACTGCAGTCCTGAATCTTTGATGTGTAGTTGCCACCCTGTGCTAAAAAGTCTGAGAGTCATATCAAATAGATGTACAGTTCATCCGCTGATGACCTGCAGACTCTGCTGACACTGTGTCTTCATGTTGTGTCACCTGATCTTAACACCAGTGCAGTGGAAGAAGTCTTCCCAGATCTGAGAACATGGCTCGGTTAGCAAACTGATGGTGGAGCATGAGGATGTGATATCAAAACCTAAGGAGGCAGAATACACAGCCTCTATAAAACACAACCATGACTATTATTTAAAGCAAACTAGCATGCATAGGCCATGGGTTAAACCCCCAAAGCAAAACAAACAAACAAACCACAAGAGAAAACAATGGAATGCATTTTCATAAAATAGGAACATCTTATGTTCAAATTGTTAGTAACAACCCAAAAAGTTTAAGGCCTTAAAATAATACCATCTAATAAGGTAGCCACTAACTAGAAATAGTTGCTAAGTATTTAAATGTGCACTTCACTAGATTCAGCTGCAATGTTCTGTAAAATATACACTGAAGCCTTATGTCTTAGTATGAGAAATAAGGATTAATGATTTTTAATAAGAATCAAATGGGTTTCAATACTTTCCATGCCAATTTTATGATGAAGTGATAACATTCCAGGAATACAGGGTTAAATATATTATTGCAATTTAATTTAAAGAAAAGTTTTTCTTCCAGTGCTGGAATCAAACTCAGAGTCTGGAACATTCCAGGCAAGCACTCTCCCACTGAGTCACACCCCAGCTCTAAAAGCTTTTAATATGCAGCATTGCCAGGTAGAACATAGGTCACCCACTCACAATACAATTTTCTATATCCCTGCAGGGGACATAATTATATAATTATTTAATATAATTAAAATTGTTTCTCCTTTGTCTAAAATTTTAGTTTAACCAGGTACATTTTTAAATTGCTAAACTTTGAAATTTATTAATATGGTTAATTATAATTGTGATGGTTAATGTTGTCAACCTTACAGCATCTAGAATCATCTTAGAGAGAAACCTCTAGGCATACCTGTGAGGAAGTTTCTACAGTAGGTTAGTTGAAATGGGTAGACTAACCTTAAAAGTGGGCAGCCTCAGGTCCATGGCCTGGGGTCCTGGACTAAATAAAAAGGAGAAGGCAAGCTGGGTACCAGCATCTATCACTCCTGGTTTCCTGGCTGAGGACAAATGGCAAGCAGCCTCATATTCCTGCCACCATGCCTTCCCAGAGTGACTGACCCTACCCCTCCAACCATGAGCCCAAACAAACCCCCCCTTCCTTAAGTTGGTTTTCTCCAGTATTTTGTCTCAGCAACATGAAATACAGGAGCTACCAAAACAAATTATAATTTACACCTACTGTGCACACCTGTTTGTCCCTGCTACTTGAGCAGATGCGACAGGTGGTCATTTAGGGTCAAATTTGCAGAAAAAACCAGAGCAAAGTATCAGGACCCATTTTATAAAATAAATATAAATAAAATTACATATGTAACTTCCTCATTTGACAATATTATTTTAGAATCACACAGTATTTTATACTTTATCTTTTTTAAAATTTTAAGATACGCTATTTACCCAAAATAATGAGTTTCATTGTGAGGTTGTGTGTTTGTTTTGAGACAAGGTTTCATTATGTAGCCCTAACTGGCCTGGAACAGAGATCCACCTGCTTCTGTCTTCCTAGTGCTGGGATTAAAGGCCTCTGCCATCAAGCCTGGCAGGTTTTTTTCTTTGTTTGATATTTTTACCAGTCAGCTCCTGATGTTAATTGTAAAAATGACTAATCTGAGGATTTAACCCTAGACTAAGATCCATAATTTTGAAGCTAAATTTTTACATTTGCTTAAATCAATCTGATGAAGGACAGAATGATTTCTTAAGAACATAAAGCACAGAACGGAGTCTGAAAATTGAAATTCATTGTTTGCAGCCTCATGACCACGTCTCAAAATCTGTCTCGATTATTTTTCATGACTATTTTAATTTTATTTTATGTGAATGGGCATTTTGCATGCATGTCTGTCTGTGCACCACGTGGGCTTTAGTTCCCCCTAGAACTGGAGTTACAGATGGTTGTAAGCCATCATTATGTGCTGGGACTCAAACTCAGATCCTCTGAAGGAGCAAACTCGCAGCGGGATACAATCCCTTCCTGAGCCCTAACAAAAAAAGTTGGTGGCCCTGGCGTTGGTGGCCCTTTAACAGAGGCAGACGGATCTCTCTGAGTTTGAGGCCAGCCTGGTCTACAGAGCTAGTTCCAGGACAGGTTTCAAAACAATACAGAGAAATCCTGTCTCAAAAACCAAAACAAAATAAAAGAAGGAAGGAAGGAAGGAAGGAAGGAAGGAAGGAAGGAAGGAAGGAAGGAAGGAAGGAAGGAAGGAAGGAAGGAAGGAAGGAAGGAAGGAAGGAAGGAAGGAAGGAAGGAAGGAAGGAAGGAAGGAAGGAAGGAAGGAAGGAAGGAAGGAAGGAAGGAAGGAAGGAAGGAGAGAAAACTTGAGAGGGTAGGCTATTTAAAACTTAAACGTTAAGCCTTCCTCCACTGAACACCCAACTTGGTCACCACTTCCCTAAAGGAGCCCTGCAGGGGGTGTGGCCTAAGGAGAACCGCCCCCTTCCCCAGAGTCCGCTACTTCTTTGGGCGGGAGGCTACGGGGGGGGGGGGGGGCCAGCCAGAGGCGCCTGCTCTCCGGGAGGCCTCACCTCCCGACCGTCCTCATGAACTGCAGGGCCTCGCTCACCAGCCACCCAGTTCCGACGGCAGGCTCCAACCCGCCTGCGCACTGCCCGGCCAGGTCTGAGTCCTGGGCCCGGTCCGCCTCATTCATCCGCGGGTGCAGCGCCCACCAAAGGCACTCGGGCTCCCATCCCTCCCCTACCACGCCGCGGGAGGAACTCACAGGCTTGTTCCTTTGTGAAGGTCTGCCTGTGCCTGTGCCTGTGCCTGTGCCGTCCACGCGCCTCCCTTGGACGGGTGACCGGTGCCCAGTGCGCATGCACGCAGGTGCCCCGTGCCCCGCCCCCTGCGCCCACGTGTCTTAGGGTTCTCTCACCAGACGCTTGGTGGGCGGCTAAGGACTACATGTCAGCCTACGACGAGGTGACCGCCTTCCTGGGCGAGTGGGGACCTTTCCAGCGCCTCATCTTCTTCCTACTCAGTGCCAGCATCATCCCCAATGGCTTCACTGGTTTGTCAGCCGTGTTCCTGACGGCAAGCCCTGAGCACCGTTGCCTGGTACCGGACACCGTGAACCTGAGCAGCGCGTGGCGCAACCACAGCATCCCGTTGGAGACGAAGGACGGACAACAGGTGCCCCAGAAGTGCCGCCGCTACCGACTGGCCACCATCGCCAACTTCTCAGCCTTGGGACTGGAACCGGGACTGGACGTGGACCTGGACCAGCTGGAGCAGGAAGACTGCCTGGATGGCTGGGAGTACAGCAAGGACGTCTTCCTCTCTACCATCGTGACCGAGGTAGGTAGCAGGTTGTCTGGTGACAACCACAGACAACAGTTGTAGTCCTTAGTCCAACGCACAGGCCCCTGATAATGAGCATCCTCCAGTCAGGACACCCAGGAACATGAATCTGTGACATCACTTCCAGCCACAGTATGTCCCTGAGAGTACAAGTGTCAGGCTGGCCATCTGCCCTTAGAGCCACATTGAAATGGAGTCCAGAAGGTCCAGTCCCAAGGAGATGCCCTGAGACCCCAAGTGATATAATCCATAGGAGCTGAGTTAGGACTTGGTTCAGAGAAGTGCCACCGGCTTATTGTCTATGTTCAGAAAGGAAATATCCTTAGAAGAACTTTTCAAGTTCAGGAAACGTGGGTCCCAAACGCTCTTCCATTTCTCTAGTTACTCTTGCCTCCTTCACCTATCCTCAACCCAAAAAAAGTCTCATCTTGCCTTTTGAGACATGCCCATGGGAAATTGTTTTGTTTCACACTGGTGGATTGTTATTTGTTAAGGACCCCAGGGTCTGAAGATCTATCTATTTAGGGTGACTTTCTATGGAGTCTTTTCCACGGTATTCTGAGACAAGATCACTGGCATGGCTCTGCATTGTCCTACAACACTCTGCTTTCCCTAAGTCTCTTGCCAGGCATTGACAGGACTCCAACTCACTGTGTTGTTCCAGACTAACTTTTCTAGTGGTCTTGTCTCTTGCCTGCATTATCTTAGAAAATGGGAATTCCTTCCCACAGTTATCCACAACTCACTGGATAAAAATTCCTAGCACCCTAGGTATTGGAGCTGGCATGACTCTAAAATATAGAGACCAGAGACACCTGGACCTGACTACCTTACTGCCTGCCTATAGTAGTCTCTTGAGAGACAGGGAGAGAGAGAGAGAGAGAGAGAGAATGAGAGAGAGAGAGAGAGAGAGAGAGAGAGAGAGAGAGATAGTGACCCTCATCTTTGCCTTTTCAACTGCATGGCAAACCAAAAGTAAACACCTGGTGAATACTATGGCATGCATAGTCATAGTAGACACAGCTGGCAGGAAGCAGTCAAACTGACCCTCTCTCTTGCTCAAAACCAACATCTTGGGACAAAGGTCTAATAGTGACACAGCCAAGGATCCACAGAACAAACAATATAATTTATTCTCAATATTGAAATGTGGGGTTCATCTGGACTTTGGGGAGCTAGGCCCAAAGCCTAAACCCAAGAGATGTCATGATGTTAAAGGTGGTTGGCCATTTTATCCATTGACTCACTCATGAATCTTATGGTTCCCAAGTCATTCTTCTATTCACAGCACTGTGGCCATGATAGAGACTTTGGTAGTGTCTTAGTGTTATCATCATTGTGATGAAAC